CAGCAGGCGATCGTTTGACCCGCTCTTGGCGGCACTATGTAGTTGATTACACGATCCGATGCTTGCGCGCATGCTTGATTCCACGATCCAATGCTCGAGCGTACGCTTCATTCCACCCTGCATCGCATCGATATTCAGAGCGTGGTTCAAAATTAAAAAATTAACTCTTAAAGTCTAGACTACTGGTTACCTATGTTTTGTGAGATCCGGGGTGGTAAAAGATCCGGAAGATCCCCTGGTATCCTAACGTCACCCACACCCACTTCGGTTTCTATCGGTTCGCACTCTTCTATCGCGTAGGTCGGCGAACGGGATTGCGGGGGAGGAGATACATGATGTGTGTGAGCGCGTATATCGGGGCAGTCAGAAGAAGACTGCTGTGTGGTGCTCTGTGTTGGATTCGCCTCTCTACTTCGTGGTGCCCTCCCGCCCACCGGTTTCACTCCCGCCAGCTGCATCCCAACTTACTCTACCAGATCGTCACATCAGCAAGGCAGGGATCCGACAAGACTTCCGAAGGGGTACGTGCTGGAGTACTCGAGTGTTTTGTGTACCATCCCCGTCGTGCGTGTTGGCTGGGTGATTTCTGAAGCTGCGTGCTGTTTCGCCATACCGCACCTATAACCCAAACCATCCGAGCCACCAACCTTTTGTCACTACTGACTAAATACGTGTAGGTGACGGAGGGTCTGATGGACGGATCGCTACCCGCAAACGAAAGGATTCCTACCATATCTTGCATTGTAGCGCGGAATTCCTGCAAGAATGTATTCTATTAACATCATCACGCCTAACGCTTCCATTTTGTTTTTGTGACGAGGCCCACGCGCGGACTGGCGAACAAGACGGACTTGCTCGCTGCAATATTTTCTTCCTGGTGGTGGTGTCGCGACGTTCAGCACGGTGGCCTGTTCACACTCTTGTTGATGATGGTAGAAACGCTTGAGTTTCGAAGATGCTTACGTTTACGACAGGGCGTCAGACGGAGAGATGTCACCCCAAATATGGGTTTTAGACAGTGATGACGTGCACCGATGACCTCTTACTGCAATGGGGTTAGAAAAGGGGCACTCGGGGTCCTCGGTGCAAATCTGAAGCATTTTTTCGGGGTCTAACGAGCGGGTGGCGTGGCAGAGTTCAAATTTGGTCGCCGACGTACGCGCATGTAAAAGCTATGTGTTGCGTCTGCCCGACACGCCAAGACTTGATCCCACGAGCAGCTGCCCACCACGTCGGCGCTCTGGGAAATTGGGGACTCGTCTGTTAGCGCTGGATCGGCCAATCCATTGAGAAACAGCGCACAGTCGTTTTCCTCCGTGAAGGGCGTGCGTGCAGACACACATACGTACTTTGGAGCAGATGAAGATGCTGCAGCGGTAGCGGTAGAATACGAAGTTGGTCACGGAAGTATGCGTGCGTCAAAATTGTGTGTTGGGTCTGCCCGACACGCCAAGACTTGATCCCACGAGCAGCTGACCATCACGTCGACGCTCTGGGAAATCGGGGAATCGTCCGTTAGCGCTGGGTCGGCCAGTCCATTGAAAAACAGCGCACAGTCGTTTTCCTCCGGTCGAAGCGTGGAGGGCGCGCGTGCAGACACACGCGCGTACTTTGGAGCAGATGAAAATGCCGCACCGTAGCGGTAGAATACGAAGTTGGTCACAGAAGTGTGCGTGTGTCAAAATTGTGTGTTGCGTCTGCCCGACACGCCAAGACTTGATCCCACGAGCAGCTGGCCGCCACGTCGGTGCTCTGGGAAAGTGGGGGATCTTCTGTTAGCGCTGGGTCGGCCAGTCCATTGAGAAACAGCGCGCGGTCTTTTTGGTCCGGTCGAAGCGTGAAGGGCGCGTGTAGATACAAACGCGTACTTTCGAGCAGATGAAGATTCCGCAGCCGTAGCGGTAGAGTACGAAGTTGGTCACCGACGTACGCGCATGTTAAGAATGTATGTTGCACTCGCCCGACACGCCAAGACTTCATCCCGCGAGCAGCTGGCCGCCACGTCGGCACTCTGGGAAATTGGGGGATCTTCTGTAGCGCTGGGTCGGCCACTCGTCCGTTGACTCGGTGACGAGAAACAGCGCGCGATCGTTTTCCTCCGGTCGAAGCGTGAAGGGCGCGCGTGCAAACACACACGCGTACTTTGGAGTAGATGGAATCAGCCGTAGAGAGTAACTTCAGTTGGTCGCCAAGAGAGCAAAAAGCTGGCGTGAGCAGTGTGAAGGTCTGGCGAGGACAAACTGCAGTTGGTCGGTCGCCAAGCGAGCGAGCTGATGAAGGGTGTGAAGGTGGGTAGCAAACAAACTGCAGTTGGTTGTCGAGAGAGTAAAGTTGACGTAAAGAGTGTAAATGTCGGTGGGGCCCAACCTGAAGTTGGTCGCTATGTGAACAACGCTGGCATGAGGGGTGTGAAGGTCGGTAGAAGACAAACTGTTGCTGTTGGTCGAGCTAACAAGACTCAACCCTATGTATCGCGACACAGCGCCACCGGGAGCAATCCCGGCAAGTGCTCAGCCATTGGAGCCCAAAGGCCTCGCGATTGTACTTTGCGAGTCTGACGTTTCCGGATAAGGGGGTCACGTAAGTGGTGTAGTACGTCATCCTGATGGTGTACGGCGTTCCAGTGAAATGTGCCCCGCGAGAAACAAAAAAAATGCCAACCCGAATAAATATGGTAAACATTGTAAGGATGGCGTGTCGATTTCATCACTTCTTCAAACATTTCCCACTCATCATGAAGTCAGACAAATCCGGTGCATCGTCTTCAATCAAGAGAATCTCGAAAAAAGATCATGCTCTTCTGAAAAAACTCAACAATAAGTCAGCACCGCATGGATCCAGCCGTTCCCATGCCCAGACTGAAAATGTCCTGAAGTCTGCTGGTGGAGAGAATGCTGCCGCGTTCTTCGACAACTTCAAATACGTTCAAGACAGGGATACGGAACCAGATGGCAACGCCACGACCCGCACATAGCTTTGATGGTGCTCTCAACGAAGTCGAGGAAGCACGCCAACATCCAATCGTTGGCCCGTACATCTGTTCGAGATGCAGCGCCGGCAGTCGGTCATCAGCATGCGCTCTGGAGCAGACTCCTTTGAGCGATGTACATCTTGCGATCGTGTCCAGTCTCTGTTGGGGCACACCGTGTGAGCGGGAACACAAGGCTTCAAGGACAGACCTGGATCCACGATAAGCTGCTCAGTATTCCCACGGTCGCATGGATGAACGTAGCTGTATTGTTTTGGTGACATAGGGGTATGCTGGAGCATTGTTGGTGTTATGATCGCTGTAGAATGTTCTCTTGCGCAAGGCTTCAGGGACAGACCTGAATCCATGCCGAGAGCGAAGTGGGTGGCATAGGGGTATGCTGGAGCTATTGCTGTGATGATCGCTAAGAACGTTCTCTTGCCGTCAAGCTACTTCTTTGGATCACGCTGCCTCCTTCAAAATACGAAGTTCTCCTGTAGAAGCTCGTCACTACGATGTGCGCAGCTGGACTAATTGAATAAACTGAAAAGGCAAAGGACACCTCAGGGAGGTTTGAAATGAACTTTACTTTTCATCTGCTATTTCTGAGCGCTACCCCGGTCTGCTCTTGTGTACCCACTAACGGGCAGCAGCGGAAATATCGTGACCCGACCCCTCTTGCAGTACAGTACAAACGGCTGAAAAACGCATGCCCTCCAACACCGGGACATAGTAACAGCCTTGCTGTAGCTTGTGGAAATCCTACCGCGCTGGGTGACCAAGAGGCGCAGACTATTTGAGAAGGCGCAGATGGAGACTGTCCGCAACCGCTCGACGAAAGCACACGATCGATGGATCGGTACACTCGACGATCCCTTTGACCGTCAGGAACCGAGCGTAGACAAGAGACCGGAGTTTTAACGTCTCACCAACAATCGCCGCCTCTCCTTTCCCATGCCACACCCCCAAGACCCCGATCCCAAAGCTCCGAGTACCACTCCCCCGTTGTCGTGCCCCACTCTGACTGTTGTGGCTAAGGTTGCGCAGGGCCGGGGCATTTCTCCCCCGAAAATCAGACGCTCAGCGAACTGGTTCCAAACGGCTCTGTTTTGAACATTGTTGGGAACAGTTGCAGCGTTTGGGACCATGTACAATCGGCCCGATTTGAAGTTTTCTACCCCAAGTCCGTCGCTCCCTGTAGGCCCACCGCCTGTCTATTTTGGAGAGGACAACGAAGAAATGCACCCCAAGCCAATCACCAAGCACGGGCCTACCGTACTCTACACCCGTGACCAGACAGCTAAAATGGGTGAGTTACGCCCGGTCGACACGTCCCAAAACCATATTTTTAGACGGCAATTCGAACGTTGTTTTCAAACACTACAGCGCACTCCCCTACAACTTGAACTCCGCCACCACTGCTCCATCGAAGAGCACCCTGTAGGCTGTGAAGTCTCTAGTTTACGTTTGAAGTCTCGCAGCCGTTTCACACGCTTGAACACAGGCACAAAAACACAGGTAGCGGAGGCGGAAGACGCACGATCTTCCAATACGGCTCCTGCGATCGGTTTATCTCCTCCGCTAGGTCGGCGTAGACTGACTTCCCTCCCTTGTGCTCTGTCGAACACGAGGAAGGCCGGGACGTCTTCCGTTTCATGAGGAGTGACGTCTTCGAGGTGGACGACAGCACATTTGTAGACGAACGCCATAACGTTTTGCCTTGTCTGGTGCCCGGACTGTTTGTTGACGTCCGCCCCTTAACTTCTGCAAAACGAGTTGTCGTGCAAAGCGAGACCATTCCAATGACCAAGTGTCTGCTCAACAAATACACAGCGGGGTAGCACTGGTGGTGATTCGAACAACAATTCAGACCAGAGCGCGGTACGGAAAACCGCCGAAAGTGACAGTGGTCGGGACTCCGACAACAATTCAGACCAGAGCACGGTACAAACCAAACCTTCCCCACCGTCTTCGGATTATTTGTAAATAACTTTGGTGTGGACTGAAGCACCCCCCAGCCTCACTCGGAGCCATGGCCTCTTCTCGCGCCAACAAACGCGCGAAAGTTTCGTCGTCAGCGAAAGAACCCGTAACGACGCTCGACACCAAGGCATTCGATGAGAAAGACGTGGCCGAATCGAAAACGCACACCAAAATGACTTTCCGGTGCCCGGTCACGATCGACAACGTCTTCACCGCGCCGACGGCCACGCAGGTCAACGTGTTTTATGAGTCCAGTAGCAGCAAAGGGGAACCTTTTGATCACTTGCCCGAAGGCGAAAAGCTTGCCTGGACCGAGTCGTTCCACGACAATAAGACGTTGATGGGGTTCATTGTGTACACCCAGCTTTTCCCCAAGCTGTTGCAGAACAGAATCAAGCTCAACGCCGCAACGTACCACTGGGCGCATCTGGACAACTCCTCGGAAAAGGGGAGGACCAAACTCGAACAACGTCGCAACGCCGTAGACAGGCTCAAGAGAAATGGCTTCACGCGCTCGGTCTTTATGGGACTTCCGTACAGGGTGGACACCTCGGCACACATACTGGCCTACATGAAGATGGACGTGGAGGAAGAGGACGAGCGCTGCAGGTTTTTTACCAAGCGCGAGTTCTCCATGATTTATTCGAAGCGGGGACAAGTCGGCAGTTCGTCTGTGTACGCCTCGTGCTCCATGGCGCTGTCCCTACTCTGGGTTGCAACGGCGATTTTGGCCCGGCCCTGCTGCCTCGAGTCTATCATCCTACCACTCTCCGTCACGGAAAGGCGAGCGATGGAGCAGAGATTCAAGTGCCCGCCGCAATTTTTCGACGGGCCCATCCAAAGCTTTCAAACCAACTGGAAAGACGTGTTCGCCGCCATCGACACGCATCATCGGAACATCAACTACACGATGCTCGAGAAAGCGTGCGAAGACAAGTACATAAAGGGTGTGCACATTGCCGATGTCTATGCTGTGTTTCGAGCGACCATGACGGCCCCAGATGACATGAACAGCATCGCGGCGTTGGTGCGATCCTACAACCAACATGCGAAGCACGGGGTCGAATCCGGGGCTGTGGTCGGCGTCATTGATGTCATCAGGGACAAATCGGTCGAAGCCATTGGTAAAATTGACGGCGGGGTGCTAGGCAGCATCTTTTCTGCCTACGGAGAGAGGGCGTGCCTCAAGGTCCAACCGGAGTGCAGCAGGCTGGAAGGAGGGTCGTCTCTGTTTGACGACAGCGTCAGCAACAAGCAAACTGAGATTTTGGCACACTTTGATTGCGAGCTGTGGAAGGCCCGAAAGAAGGACAAGGTGGAGCGGGTCGTTGCTGCGAACATGGACCCCGCCGGCATGAACAAAAAGATTGAGGGAGGGAAGATGCTCGACCCGACAGACCCGAAATCAATTGATCTCATGCACACAATGCTTCAGACTATCTCGGGACAGGTTTGGAAACCCCTGAAGTAAATGATTGGGGAAGCGCTGGGGGCAAGCCTCGAGTACCCGGCCGCCTTCTTGCGCATTACACAGGAAGAGGGAGAACAGCTACACAAGCACGTGCTAACTGTGGGGGTGACGTACACCGACGTGGCTAACCTCTGTACGCTGCTTCTCCTGAGCTTTTCTTTCCAGCGCTCGCAGGTGCTGCGAGAAGCAACCGTCGACGAGTTTGTACTCGTGCCAGACGCGACGCACTACAAGTTTTCGTTCAAGAACAGGAGGTTCAAAACTGCATCTTCGGGAGGGACCTCATCTGCACCGCCTGTGTCACACTTTATGCTGTCGCCAGATCAGTCCATGATCACACGGTTCATAGCTATCGTGGGACACAGGTTTTGCGGCACACTATGCTTGGACAATGAAGCCAGGAGGCTGTTTGTCAACACCAAGGGTCAGAGCTGGACGCAGAAGGACATATCGTCGCGCTTCAAGAGAATTGGCATGCATTGGTTGGGCATCTCCAATTTTGGGCCCCATGTCTGTCGAACCTTTTGGTCCACGCATGCCCTTAACTCTGGACAAATCAGTGGCTCGAATTTGGAGGACTTCAGTAGCTTTATACAAGTTTCGAGCACCACTCTGAGGAACAGCTACATGGCGGCAGCAGCGAATACCGCCGCGCATACCGTGGGTAACGAAGTGTTGGGGGCGGTGGTGAACTCCGCTTGCACGGGAGAAACGACAGAGAAGGGTGCTCGGCCGTACGGGAAGAAACTGAGCGCTAGGAGGCTTGAGTTTGCGGGAGAGATTCGAGCCTCTCTCGCAAAGTACAGTGGTAATGGTAGACTGCTGTTCCGTGCTCTTTTGCAGAAGAGGAATGCTTCTCAGCTTGCAGAGGGAGAGAAATGGTTCCGTTGGGAGAATACGTTTTTCAGTCAGAGTGATGAACGGCTGTTTCAGCGGTTTGTGGATAAGATGAACGCTTAATATATTTATGGAACCTGTCAGTGTAGAAAAGCCCCGCCATTTGGGGCGAGTGTCAAAAAAAAATCTGTCACAGCAACACTTGGATGGGTGGCAGGGAGGAGTCACTACTGCTGGTTCGACCGTGCACAAGGCAGAAATGGGGTTTGTGCAGCTGTTGATACACAGCTCTTCCTCACACATCGATTTTCAGTCATTTTTCTATCCGACAGGAGGATCTCAAGCTTCACAAACGTAAAGCACGCGAAGAGCACTTGTGCCGTTCGCGCATGACAACATGTCGCCCTTTTTTCCTGATGCTGCCACCGCTGCCGACGCAGACAAAATAATACGATCACGCACGCACACACCTCAATTCTGCACGCAGCTCACCTCTCATATTGGTTTCCAGGTTACATGAAGGCCTGAGTCACAGCCACAGCAAAAGGACCATCCCCATCAACCGACCCTGCAGTCCATCCCTCCAGCACGTTCGAGATGGCACGCCCGTTGGCTCCCTCAGCGGCCCGGTAGGCGTATGCGCGTAGTGTTGGCAAAGCGACACCCACCGTGCTACATCGATCGTTCGCAGGCTGCCACGTATGAAGACGACGGCCAGTCGGCCGAAGGTGCTTTTGGCGGCTTTGTCCAGCTGCGTGGTGTAGAATTGGAGAAGAGCGAAAGTGCACGTTGTATTGAAAAATAAAACTAAATGAAAACACCATTTCTCTCCACCCCTTCGCGTCTCACCGACAGGTACAACAGCAAGCAAGACGGCGCGTTCCTCGGGTACGACAAGGAGAACAAAAGGGGAAAATCTGAAAGAAAACATCAAAGCGCAGGAAATACTCAGGAGAACCACGGGATCGTGATCGGTCGGCAAGTCGGGATGGTGACCGGTACTCATAAATTGAACCAGGTGAAGGCGGGTAGATAGGATGTCGGAGGTTTCTTGGTACTAAAACCAGTCTTCTGGTGACATGACTAAACACCCTAGCCTCTATCTTGATAAAACTTCAAGATATACTCTGCAATGTACCGCGTGGATAGGCAAGTGACACGGTCAGCAGAGAGCTGGCATGTCAAACCAGGCCACTAGATCTCAAATTCTGGCCTTCGCAAACTAAAATGAATTTTCCAAATTCTGTGAACCTGGTATCTTGATACAACAACCATTGTTCTGATGAGATGGCCAAACACGCTAGCCCCTACCTTGAGATGTACTTGTAGAAGTACGCTGTACAGTACTGCATGGATAAGAGAATACTGTTAAGTGGACTGGGTCGATGTGCGACAACACGGCCGAGCAGATGTGCGACAGAACGAAAACTTGCCGGAAGCGATGGGCGACAACACGGCCGAGGCGCGAAGACGCGCGAAAGAACGAGAACTTGCCGGAGCCGATGGCCGGCGACAACACGGCCGAGGCGCGAAGACGCGCGACAGAACGAGAACTTGCCGGAACCGATGGCCGGCAACAACACGGCCGAGCCGCGAAGACGCGCGACAGAACAAAAACTTGCCGGAACCGATGGCCGACAACACGGCCGAGGCACGAAGACGCGCGACAGATAGAGAACTTGCCGGAATCGATGGCCGACAACAACACGGCCGAGCCGCAAAGACGCGCGACAGAACGATAACTTGTCGGAACTGATGGTCTACAACACGGCCGAGCCGATCAGCGACAGCACACGCGGCGGCGTTTGGCTATACATGCGGTACGCTACAATGTATATCTACATGTATATCTCAGGGTAGTGATTAGGGCGTCTGGTCACATCATTAGAAGACTGGTTTTTGTATCAAGAGATCAGTTTCACAGATTGTGGAAAATTGAACATAGTTTGTGAAGGCCAGAGTCCGAAATCTGACGGCCTGGTTTTGAGACGCCAGCTATCAACTTGATCTACCTTTCAAACGAATGTGGGACAAAACGGCCGAGCCGATGGCCGACAACACGGCCGATGCGCGAAGACGCGCGGCAGAACGAAACGTTGACGAAACGGATGGCCGATCACAACAACACGGCCGACCCGCGAAAACGAACGAGAACTTGCTCGAACCGATGGCTGGCAACAACACGGCCGAGCCGCCAAGACGCGCGCGACAGAACGAGAACATGCTTGAATCGATGGCCGGCGACAACACGGCCGAGCCGCGAGGACGCGCCACAGAACGACGACTTGCTCGAACTGATGGCCGGCAACAACAGAACGAGATCTTGCTCGAACCGATGGCCGACAGCAACACGGCCGAGCCGCGAACACGCGCCACAGAACGACAACTTGCCGGGACCGATGGCCGACACCACGGCCGAGCCGATCAGCGACAGGACACGCGGCGGCTTTTCCCTACCCATGCGGTACGCTACAATGTATGTCTACGGGTATATCTCAAGGTAGAGGGTAGGGTGTCTGGTAACATCATCAGAAGACTGGTTTTAGTATCAAGACACCAGTTTCACAGATGTTGGAAAGTGGAATGTAGTTTGTGAAAGCCAGAATCCGAAATCAGACGGCCTGGTCATGAGACGTCAGCTATCTACTTGCTCTATCTTGCAAATTAATGCGGGACAAACCGGCCGAGCCGATGGCCGACAACACGGCCGATGCGCGAGAAGACGCGCGACAGAACGAGACGTTGCCGGAGCCGATGGCCGGCAACAGCACGGCGGAGCCGCGAAGAAGCGCCGCAGAACGAAAACTTGCTCGAACTGATGGCCGGCAACAACAGAACCAAACCTTATTCGAACCGATGGCCGCCAACAACGCGGCCGAGCCGCGAACACGCGCCACAGAACGACAACTTGCCACAACGGATGGCTGACAACACGGCCGATGCGCGAGAAGACGCGCGACAGAACGAGAGCTTGCCGGAACGGATGGCCGACAACGACACGGCCGAGCCGCGAAGGCGCGCCATTAAATTTCTCGAACCGTTGGCCAGCAACAACACGGCCGAGCCCCGAAGACGCGCCACAGAACGACAACTTGCCGCAACGGATGGCCGACAACGGAAAGACGCGCGACAGAACGACAACTTGCCGGAACCGATGGCCGACACCACGGCCAAGCCGATCAGCGACAGCACGAGCGGCGGCTTTCCCCTACCCATGCGGTAAGCTACAATGTATGTCTACGGGTATATCTCATGGTAGTGGGTAGGGTATCTGGTAACATCATCAGAAGACTGGTTTTAGTATCAAGACACCAGTTTCACAGATGTTGGAAAGTGGAATGTTGTTTGTGAGAGCCAGAATCCGAAATCAGACGGCCTGGTTTTGAGACGTCAGCTATCTACTTGCTCTATCTTGCAAATAAATGTGGGACAAACCGGCCTAGCCGATGGCCGACAACACGGCCGATGCGCGAGAAGACGCGCGACAGAACGGGACCTTGCCGGAACCGATGGCCGGCAACGACACGACCGAGCCACGAAGACGCGCGACAGAACGAGAACTTGTCGGAACTAATGGCCGGCAGCGACACGGCCGAGCCGCGAAGACGCGCCACAGAAAGAGAACGTGCCGGACCTGATGGCCGGCAGCAACAGAACGAGGACTTGCTCGAACCGACGGCCGACACCACGGGCCCGCCGATCAGCGACAGCACGAGCGGGGGCGTTTCTCTATCCATGCGGTACGCTACAATGTATGTCTACGGGTATATCTCATGGTAGAGGGTAGGGTGTCTGGTCATATCATCAGAAGACCGGTTTTAGTATCAAGAGACTAGTTTCACAGATGTTGGAAAGTTAAATGTAGCTTGTGAGCCAGAATCAGCAATCAGACGGCCTGGGTTTGAGACGCCAGCTATCTGCTTGATCTTGTAAATGAATGTGGGACAAACCGGCCGAGCCGATGGTCAACAACACGGTCGATGCGCGAGAAGACGCGCGACAGAACGAGAACTTGCTCGAGCCGATAGCCGGCAACAACACGGCCGAGCCGCGAAGACGCGCGACAAAACAAGAACTTGCTCGAATCGATGGCCGGCAACGACACGGCCGAGCCACGAAGACGCAATACACAACGAGAACTTGCCGGAACTGATGGCCGACAACACGCTCGAGCCGCGAAGACGCGCCACAGAACGACAACTTGCCGCAACGTATGGCCAACAACGCGGCCGAGCTGCGAAGACGCGCGACAGTACGAGAACTTGCTCGAACCGGTGGCCGGCAACGACACGGCCGAGCCGCGAAGAAGCGCCACAGAACGAAGCCTTGGTCGAACCGATGGCCGGCAACACGCCCGAGCCGCGAAGACGCGCCAACAGAACGAGAACTTGCTCGAACCGATGGCCGACACCACGGCCGATGCGCGAGAAGACGCGACAGAACGAGACCTTGCCGGAACTGATGACCGACAACACGCCCGAGCCGCGAAGACGCGCCAACAGAACGAGAACTTGCCGGAACTGATGGCCAATAACACGCCCGAGCCGCGAAGACGCGCGACAGAACGAGACCTTGCCGCAACGGCATCACGGCCGAGCCGCGAGAAGACGCGCGACAGAGCAAGACTTTGCCGCAACGGATGGTCGACAACACGGCCGAACCGCGAACACGCGCCACAGAACTGATGGCCGACAACAACACGCCCGAGCCGCGAAGACGCGACAGAACGACAACATGCCGCAACGGATGGCCGGCATCACGGCCGAGCCCCGAAGACGCGCGACAGAGCAAGACTTTGCCGCAACGGATGGTCGACAACACGGCCGAACCGCGAACACGCGCCACAGAACTGATGGCCGACAACAACACGCCCGAGCCACGAAGACGCGCGACAGAACGAACCTTCCGGAATCGATGGCCGACACCACGGCCCAGCTGATCAGACGCGCGACAGAACGACAACTTGCCGCAACGGATGGCCGGCAACAACAGAACGAGAACTTGCCGGAACCAATGGCCTGCAACGACACGGCCGAGCCCCGAAGACGCGCGACAGAAAGAGGACGTGCCGGACGTGATCGCCGGCAGCAACAGAACGAGAACTTGCTCGAGCCGATGGCCGG